GTGTTCCAGTATAAATATTCTTGATCTCTATTTTCCTTGGGAGGATGTAGTGTATTGTCTAAGCTTACCAGAAACAAAACCTTACAGTTGCTAAGTTTTCTCTTCCAGTTAAAGGGAAACGGCATCCACAGGGCTTATTCTGGACTTCAACAGCCTGCTTTTCAGGATTCATTTTGGACATTGCAGAACATACTGCTGCTCTATTGAAACACATCCATTTTGTAGTAATTTTTAGATTAAAGAGGATTTAATTTTGACTGTGATAAGGAATTAATGATTTTAGTGACTCTGAAAAACATATTTTATTGAACATTGTGGTGACAAAACAGAATCACAAGCACTGCAAACTTAAGTGGCTGTTAGCCTGAGAAGTAATTGGAAATAACAGCTCTCTACATGAAAACAATTATCCAAGGCTTAACAGGCTTCTCTCTCAAGTCTATAACACAATTAACCTGAAAGTTATCTAGTAAAATGAAAGCTCTTCTTTCGTAGGAGAAGCTGGTAGGGGTTGTACTCTGTGAATAAGACTACAAAAAAACCCAAACTAGTCCAATTTCAATACTGTGTGGCCCAGGTCTTAAATTAATGCAGCAAGTAGGTAGAGATTATGCACTTCTTACTGTGAGTTCTTGGTGACATAAGAGTTTGCCTTGACAGATGCAATGCAAGAACATTTGTAAGGAGAGAAAAAGATATTTCACTCTGTCCAGAAAAAGTCTTTAAAATAGTACAGGAAAATGAGAAACTAAAGAAATGTTTTAAGGGGCAGAGAGATTTAGGACAAGGAAGAAAATAGCTTACTCAGCTTGCCAGGCATATAACAAGTGATTACACAGAATTGCCTAGATTGGAAAAAAAACCCTTTAAGATCATTGAGTCCAAAAGTTACAAAGTAACTTTCATTACGAGTCCAATTACAAAGTATGTTTCTCAAATATAGTCTATTCAGACTGCTCTCTCAAGGGATCAGTAGGCCAAGCACCTACACTTGCTGTACGCTAAATTAGCTATAGCATAGCAACTGCGTTTTTACACACATAACCTGCAGCTTTTATGTAAAAACAGAAATCTCCGTCTTTTGGCAACAACCTGAATGATACATATTAAAGTATTATATTAAGGTAGTGTAGAAGAGAGTTTGCTTCATATCCTACTCTGTACAGGTCCTCTTCTTGTTTCTGAATGTCTCTAACTGGGAAGAAATTTCAGGTCCTGATCTCCCCTCCCTGTTCCAAAACCTGCCAATGATCTGCTGGCTATCCCAGTGTCCAGTCTGCTTTGAATGCTCTCCTCTTCTGTGTCTGGTGTTAGGTATCTAACTTAAAGCAGCAAATAACCTGAGCATTGCCGCCAGGAGTTAGAAATTAAATGGAAAGTTTCTGAGATAAGGAAGTATATGAAAACACATGAAAGTATAGCAGTATTCTTTTAGTCGTTGCTGCATTAGGAATAGAGTATTAGAAAAAATACACTTGTCAGTGCTAATGTTAGGCTCTGAAATGACCTACTGGATGTTAAGGAGAAATACAATTTTAGCAACTGATGAAAACAGAAGGATACTTAAAATGTCTAAATCGATATGATAAAATAAATAAAAGCTGTTTTTCATATGTTCCACTACTACGTGCTGTGACCAAAATAATATTTTTTCCTAGGCTGTTTCTATATATATACACACATATTTAAAGGTATTTCTTGCCTTGCTTAATGTTAGCTGTTGAGTCTGTTAAGTTGGTAACTTCTTACATTAATGTGCTCTCAGCCCAGAGGGCCAATCAGATCTGGGCCGCATCAAAAGAAACGTGGCCAGCAGGTGGAGGGAGGTGGTTCTGCCCCTCTGCTCTTCTGAGAGCCCACCTGCTGTGTTCAGCTCTGGGGCTTCCAGTGTAACAAAGGCGTGGACCTCTTCAGAGGAGGACTACAAAGATGATCAGGGTGCTGGAGCACCTCCTGTATGAGAACAGAAAGAAAGAAAGAGTAGGGGTTGTTCAGCCTGGAGAAGAGAAGGCTCCAGGGAGACCTTATAGCGACTTTCCAGTACTTAAAGGGAGCCTACAGGAAAGAAGGGGAGGCACTCTTTTTCAGGGAGTGTAGTGATAGGAGAAGGGGTAGTGGTTTCAGACTGACCATTTGAGGGTAGATTTCAATTACATATTATGAAGAAATAAATTTCTGTGGGGGTGGTGAGACACTGGAATAGGTTGCCCAGAGCAGTTGTGGAAGCCAGGGCCAGGCTGGATGGGGCTTTGAGCAACCTGGTCTAATGAGAGGTTTCTCTGCCCATGGCAGGGAGATTGGAACTGGCTTTGTGTAAGGTCCCTTCCAACCCAAACCATTCTATGATTTATTAAATCAAAAATGTGTAAAATCTCATTCAAACTAAATAGTTTGTTGTTGAACTCAGAAACTGAACAATTCTAAGTATTCTAGATTCATATAGACTCAAAAATAGTATCCTCACCCTATTCCTGGATTGACAAAAAAAGCACACACATAGACAAAATGTAGACAAATCTAAGGTGTTTTCTTGGAAATGTCTTAGTGTGGGTAAGGTCTTCTGTCTCCAAGAGACTCCTGTTAGGAAAACAACCGTGCTCCATTTTTTTTTAAATTATTTTGAACAGTCTTTCACATACATGAAACAAATTCTACTCTTTATTCTACTAGCAGAATCCTTCTGGGTTCATTAACCATTTCATAATTTAAAGGCTAATCTATTTTCATTCATGGTGTTTGTAAAGGATGCTCATGGACAGTTTCTTTTGAATCTTCTGTATTGTTCCCGAGACACATGTCATCTTGGGATGATTTTTTTGCCATCTTGATTATCTTGTATTTCTGACACCAAGTGATCATTTCCGTAAGGATTTTCTCAGATTCTCAATAACTGTCTCAAGGTTATGCTGTGCTTAAGCACAGGTAATGTGTATATAACATTATCATAGATCTGTGCTGCTTAAACTAAAAAAACACTGAAAACTGAACTCATGTGGCCTGAAGAAGCACATGCTTTCTTTTTCTGGGAAGGCACCAAATTGCTTTCATACCCAGGAAGAAATCTTGTGTACAGATAATAAGATGGTTTAACATTGGAAATGAGAAAGAGAAGTTCATCTACAGGCTTCTTTCCTGAATACTCATTCCCTTATGAATTCTGTAAGTTAAATTACATGAACTGTGTTATTTAAATGAAATACTGAAACCACTCTGAGTGTACAGAAAATAGTATAATCCGGGATCTTATTTGTCCTTGTTTATCCAACCTTTGGTTAACTGAGACTCCTGGTTAACTGAAAGTCGGTCGTGTCCCCTGACAGCCATGTGCACTGTGCATTACTCCCCTGCTTATCCGGAGAGACATCTGAAACCTTCAGAATAATGGAGTTGTGGGTAAGTGGGTGAGCACGGCATGAAACACATTGCTGTCTGGGGACGTGACCAACTTTCACTTAACCAGGCATGTCAGTTAACAGGAAGTTAGAAAAATACATTGCAGGAGATGAAGTGTCTCTGCGTGCGTGTGTGTTTATTAGCTCTCTGCTGTTAGATGGTTTGTATCAAAGTACATATTCAGGAGAACTGGAAAACAGGGCTGCTTTTTTGCGATTAACCAGGGGCTGTGTGTTGTTTGCACTGTGACTTTTTTTTCTTTTGGTGAGTTGACCTTAAATGTAGCATAAGTAAATGATAAAAGTCCTTGAAATGAAATATCTGGAGCTATTCTGCAGTATCAGACTGCTTTCGGTTTATTCATTAAATTCAATTTTAATTGTGATGTTAGGTTCACAGCTCTTTATGCTGCCTAGGTGGAGCGGTGCAAGCAATTCAGACACGATACCCTCTACACTTTGTGGTCGTAGGGACGTGTGCTGGCAGAGAGCAGCGGTAAAAGGCAAAGATGGCCAACAGCAACCCTACACTTCTATACCAGCAGCATCTGTTTAAATGATTGAGTGGCATTCACAAAGCTCTTTGGCTTTAGTTTCTGCTGGGAGGATTGCAGCTGTAAGACAAGGCTCTGTCTGGGAGGCAGGGGGGATGCTTCTGAAAGGCTGACTGATTCCTGTCAGACAGAGGTGATCGTACGTGGATGAAGGAGCTCTAAGGTCATCTGAAAACTCACCTACCCTGTAGCTACAGAATAATGTGCTGTGGTGTTGCTCTGAGAGGAGGGATGAGATATGTGAGTGGAGGGAAGAAGGGCTGTTCTCAGCTAGCAGAGCACAATCAACGACTTCTGGGCAGTTTGGACTTCGGAGAATCACCTTAATACGTTCTTAAATATTTGCAATGCAAAAAGAGAATCTGTTTGTCTCCCATGATGTAGACGACCAGGAGTTTGGGTGTTGCAGTGAGAGGTGAGGTAAACAATAATAGATGAGAATCTAGGAATGGGAGACAAAAATTAATGTGTTCAGAGGGATGCCTCCATCTCCCTTCCATTACTCTGGAGACAACGGATCCAGGATGGCAGCAAAGGAGAGACAATGATGTTACGGACTGCAACTTCTTACCTGTCTACACATGTCTAATAAGATTATATATTAAGGGTTCAATTAACACAACAAAGAATAGAAGGAAGGGATGGAACATGGTGACAAAAAAGGTGTTAAAGATGTGTGTTTAAGTGCATTTAGATCATACCCTCTTTAGTTTCATTTGCTTGAGAGAGAGAGAGAGAGAGAGGCTTATTGTAGGTTCTGAGAGACTGCAAAATGCGCTGAAGTTGTAAATTAGAAGTTCTTTGTCCCTGCAAATGGGGTCTTTAACATTGACTTGACTCTTCTGTGTTTTCTAGAACATAGATATGTGCAGACATATGGTATAAAATATTTCCTTAGAGCCTACTGCTGTGTTTTTATACTATAAATGGGAGGCTGCTTCTCTAGGTGTTAGTAATGTTAGTAATGTTGCCTTTTAAATCAAATGTGGTCACAGATCCTTACTATTTTCTTTTTCTTTTGTTTTCTTTTTTTCTTTTTCCCCCTCAATTTTAGGATTAAAGAGCCCCTTCAGGACAGTGTAATAGCTACCTATGAAGAGCATGAAGATAGCGTATATGCAGTTGAATGGTCCTCAGCAGACCCGTGGCTATTTGCCTCTTTAAGTTATGATGGGAGACTTGTTATTAACAGGGTTCCAAGAGCTCTTAAATACCATATACTGTTATAATTTGTTTGCATTATGGTGGAGTTGTTACCTTGATGTACACAACTGCAAGGTATTGTTTAGGGTTTTTTTTTCAGGATCTATTTTTATTAAGTGTAAATGTTAAAATTTTATTAATAGTATCTGTACTAATATAAGACACTTCTAATTTGTTTTTTTTTGTATTTGCCTTGGAAAACTACTGTGTTTTCTGAAGGGTCTGCTAATTAGATGAATTTTTTTTTTTTTGAGGGGCTAATAATTTTATAATTCACAAAGTTTCTGGAGTTATCGGATACTTAGACTGTTGCTTTCTTACTTCATCTTTATGCAAATATAATGGGTTACAGAGATGTTATGCTGATATAAAACTGAGACAATGTAGGGTGCATGTAGCAGAAGTGATCTACTTGTTTACAATAATATTTTATCCTGATACGTGCACCCTTCTCCTAGCTAGGACTGCATTCTGCTAACTATTGTGAGTGTTCTTCACTGTTTCTAAATACAGTTGGGAATGGTCTTAAAAGGCTTTCTTAATTAAGTCTAATATTTTAAACATTTTTGTCTCCTGTTTTGCATATCTTAAGGAGAAATGTTATATATTCCTTTTTTCGTTTAAGCCTTATGGTAGTATCAACAAAGTACCATCCTGTAATTTGCAAACAAAATGTAATTTTGACTTGTGTTGTTATTGGAAAAATTATTAGTCCTTACAGAAATCTCTTATATATTTATTATCCCATGTTTATAGAACTTGTGCTGTAGTATGTTTTGAGGGACTCTGGAGCTATGCCATTGTTAACTTGAAAAATCTCTTTAATATTTGTAAGTAGTCTCACTTTCTTATCTCTTTGGCTCTGTGCCGTTCTGCAGCATGCTGACATGATGTAGCAGGCTTTCACCTAAGCACAAAATACCCTCTTACTCTTTGCAATTCCTGACCTAGGTGTTGGTGACTGTCATGTTACAAATGCTGGGAACAGGCGTATGCTGGTCTGTAACAGAATGCATGGAAAATGTGAATTGTGGATGGAAGGCACGGTGAAATGTGCCTGTGTGTACTGACAGCCCCCTTCCCCTTGCATAGCTTGCGTTAAGATGAAAATTCTGCCACTTCTTTGTGTATGCAGACGACCCGCAGCAGAAATTATTCCTTGTTGCCTTTTCATCGCTGTCATTTCCCATTAACTTCAGAACCTTGGGCATGTGCGATGGTGTTGGTTGTGGTAGCATTGTGTAAGGCCACTCTGAAGAAATGGCAATGAACATGGGATGGAAAGATCAATACCAGCCTCTTCCTGCGATTCTTCCTGTTGCTATGGGAACCGTTGGTGTTAGTGTTGAGGGACAGCCTGCTGCTCACCTCTGCTTGTCCTTACCCACTCTTGGATCGAAACATTTCCAAATGTGACTTGTGTATACACAGCTGCTTCTGTGAGAACATGTTTTGAGAGCATGACTGACTGCTATAGGCCAAAACATCTGGAAAAGGTGGAAGTGGATTTCTATTTCTGGCTTTCTTAAAGGGCTTGTTTGGAAGAATTCATAGGAGTGAAGTAATCCAATTAAATCATCTGTACTATTGTTTGTATTTGTGTTATGGTGCTGCCTGCTGCTCCAGAATGAATGCTTCATTGGAAATTCTGATGGTTTGATTTTCTGCTTTGAGATTTTAAATGTGCTATTTCACATTGTCTCAGTCTGTAATTAGGCATGAGCTATTCACCTGTATACTGCAAAAAATTACATTTCCAAGCCAATAGTCCTTCATTTGTCTGAATATCAAAATCCTTGATTGGGCTGCAGCTTTATATGTGGAGCTTCCAATCTTCAGACGTGAAACTTCATTGGGTTTACCCTCGGCAAACAAACCCCAACCCTGCAGTATATCTTTTGCATGTAGCAGAACTCTTTAAAACTTTCTTCACGTTAGCAATAAAGGTCTAATGAAACTTTGTCTGTTGATGTATATGGCTTGCAGTATGAAGGTGATGGGAAATTACATAACAGTATGTGGGATTTGGTTTGGTTTTTAACAGGTAATAAATGCAGGACAGATTTCAGACTAATTTTTATGTAGCTCTATTTCCTTTAATACTGTAAGATTAATATATATAAGCTGGGAAGCTCTCTACACAAATGATATCAGGAAAGTTTTCGTTTGTTTGAGTTCTGTTCAATGTGCGTGTCAATAGGGAAAAGAGAGGGGATGAACACCCCTCCCGGTAAGGGAGGGAGTAACAGGTCAAATTTGAATGAAATGCATTACAGTGGCATCAAGAGAGCAGGAAGGTTCAAGTTTTAAACATTTTCAGCTGTCTGTAAAGTGGGATCTGAGCTACATGTACAGCACTGGCAGCAATATGGAAATGACCTTCAGAAATGGAAAGCTTTTGACAAGGTTTCATCCCAGGCTGTTAGAGGAAGAAAGCTGCTGTAGGATAAGAGGAAGGGTTGAAAGATGGTTAAATAACTGATTAAAAGATATGAAATAGGAAGCAGGAATAAATCATCACATTTCACGACAAGAAGAAATTACCAATGAAGCCCACAAGGATCTGTGCCTCGGCCTGTGCTTCACAGGATACTCATGACCTTTTTGGAAAAAGGGCTGCATAGAAATATGGGAAAAATTGCAGATACTGTTCAGAGTAGTAAAACAGACTGACGAATTATGGAAGGGCCTTACCTCACACAGTGGCTGGATGATAAAATGGTAGATGAAATTCAGGGCAGGAAATGTGAAGTAGGATATGGGAGAAAACAGTCATTTTGCATATCTACCACTATATGGCTATTCCTTGGAAGTAAGATCTTAAGGTTTTTATAGGTCTTTAAAAGCATCAGATTAATAGAGGTTAGCATTTTACTTAAAATGTCGGGAATTACTAGAAAGCAAGAAGAAAATAAATCATTGTTAATCTGATAAATAATACATATTTATAAACCTGTGGTGCATGTACATCTTGAATACTGTTTGTAGTTCTGATTTCTTCCATCTCAAACCCAACGTAGTAGAACTGGGAATAATTTTAGAGGAGGGTGACAGGAGTGATGAATAGCATGCAACACCTGTATGAGGATAACTAAATAGACTGAAAGGCAGATGGTTGATAAGGAATGATAAAAGTCTGTAAAATCACAAGTGACAGAGGGAGAGGATGAACAGGGAGGGATTGTTCACTGTCTCTCCTGATACCAGAACTGGAGGTTATTAAATGGAATCTGCATGTGGTGGCTCAAAACATACAAAATGAGATGGTCTCCACAGGCGTGAAGGTGAGCTATAGCAATCCTCTGTAACAATCCCTTCCCCTTGCAAAAAGACCACCCAACGAAAGAAACAAAAAAAATAATCTCATTAGTGTTAAAGTTTACATGACTTGAAAGTAACTGAAGCAGTACTTGAAAGATGTATCCATTAAAGGCTGCTAAATATAAAGGCAGCATCTGTGACCTAAAAAGTCCTTTTGAACCATGAATCACTGGACACTACAAAGAGTGCTGGCAGAGAATCCCTGTGTGCATGTCGAGTCTTTGCTTACCTCCCTGGACCATGTGCTATTTGTGCCAGTAAGGGTGGAAAACAAAAGTGAAAAATAATAACTTACTTTCTAAAGCTTTTTCTCTAGTGCTGAGACAGCACATTGCTCCTACATGTTTCTCTCACAACTGTTTACTTTGGTCATAAGTTGTGTTTTAAGGGATTTCATAGAACACTTATGTCTCAGGTGAATTTCTTACAGTATTATTTCTGCAAACTGTCTTGTCGCAAAATAATCCTTGGCAGTAAGACTGTGCAAGCCAGCAGATTTCTGTACAGCAAAGTCCATCACTGCCTTGCAAATTCAAATTATGTTCTAACTGGTCTCACAGCACTGGGTTATTCAGTGTCGCATCGAGAATGCTGTTTATACAGTCACATATCAGCACTGGTAAGCACATAATTGTTGCGTTTTCAAACAAACACTTCTCAAATGATTTTTCTTTCTTTACAGACTGTGTCCAGGTAAGAAACTTTAATAGCCCTTGATTTTCAAGAAGTGAATTATGGTATTCCTTAAAAATGTCAGATTGTCAATGTTGCAGTCTAAAAACTTGTTTTATTCCAGATTTTAAAGTCTTGTCCTTGTCAGCAATTTAATATATGTGTCTGGTATGGAATTACAGAAATGTGGTATTTTTATTCTGCAGAAAGTGAATTACTGAAGGAGAAAGGAATTTATAATATTTTTAAAAGGTTTCGAGAATCTTCTAAATGAAACTGACCACAGTCAATACAAGTCTTGACAGTTTAATGAGAAGCTAGAAATAACTGTTTCACTTGAACTAAAAATGGTGCTAAGATCATATTGAAAATGAAACAAGAAACAAAAAACAACCAAGCCAACACAAAAAAAAAAGCAATAAAAAAAAAAAAATCAACACCACCACCGAACACCAAAAATGCAAAACCTCTCAGCACTGACCTGGGACTTTCCCGTGGTGTGATGCTAAAATTAGCCTGACCTGTACTGAAGCTCATGAAGTTAGTGAACTGCTTGTCAGCATTAGAATTAATGAAGAACCTGTATTGGACAGTGTGAGTAGACTTGACATTTGCTCTAGACCAGTCCTTGCCTCATAACTTCTTGTTTCACAAAGGTGAGTGGAAATAAGAAGCCATATGAATGGAGATGACAAGCTATGTGGTCTGGAATATGTTCAACACTAAAACTGGTTGAAAACAGTAAAGATTTAAACTCTCTGATCATTGTATTTTCTATCAAACAACAGAAAGCATTTGTTCTGTATTTGAGTCTTACATTTGGAATTCCCAAATCTTACAGCCTGGTACCTCTTGCAGTATTTGAGACTGAAATTCTGTACCTCAAGATGACCTTCAACAGAATCATCTGACTGTAGTCTGGTGTGGTAAGACATCATGGATAATGCCTTTGATGTAACTGAAGCAGTGAAAAGTAGGTAACAATAATTGTTGAGATCGGTATTTGGATACAAGGTCTTAGTGCTATAGAGCTGTCATTTGGCTTCACTGAGGACGTCAAGGCTGGGTGGTTTTTTGTTTTTCTAGGGGTTATGACGAAAGCACTTAAGACTTTAGTGTGATGCTTGTGGTATGAATGCCATTCTGAGGCTGCAGAAGGCGTATGATTTCTGGAAGAGCAAGTGAAGTGACTGAGAGAAAAG